AGCGCCGCGTGCGTCCTCAAAGTGTCCTCGAAGCGACTTGCGGGCGTTTTGCAAGCACTTTAGAGCCCCTAAGATTGCCGAGCCTACGGCCTCCAGCCCTCAAGATCGGCAGACCCTCAAATGACAGAATTCTGACCCAAGTCCTGAAACAAGGCCTGTAGCTATCACAGAGTGGGAGTTGACAACACCTGCCACAGAGAGAGACCAAGTGGTAGGGCCGGTTTTGTTTTTGGGGAGTTGCGCCAGGAGACCTCCACGAGAAACTTCCCAGTGGAGAAAACGCCAGACCGGTGGTTGGAGTGGGGAAGCCTGAACGCTATGTGTTCATGTCTTCGTGGCTCAAGGAAGCGGGATGGCTACAGAAGAAGTTTCATGTGTGAGAAAAGGTTTTGAACTATTTTCTTCGTTTGCAGCCCCCAAAAGCGATTCTTGTAGCTTGCCACCACTTTTATTTCGTTTTTCATTCTTGTGTTCTTCGCTTTGCACCTCCATCATTTCGTTTGGGTTTCTTGTTTCATCATGGAAAAAGAATGAAAAAGACGCCGGTTCAGTTTCTTTGTTTTTCTTCGTTTTTCTGCTTGCAAAACGGTTTCGTGTGGCTTTCTACAGATGCAAGTTAACATATTTTCCTCGCTTGTAAAGCTCCAAACCGTTTTCGCGTGGTTTCTGTCTTCCCGCGGTGGAGATGGCGAAGTCGTTCAAAACTGCCAGAAAGCAGTTGCGTGCACTTGAAAACACCCATGCCCGCGATTTTCCCGTTGTCGCGACGTGAAGCACGCACTTTGCAAGTGCGAAAGCTTGAGATTCGGTTGCATGATATAATTTTTTGTATTCATATGTATACATATATTTATATATATGCTCGCATTTATATAAATGTATGTTTTAATGTATATGTATATGTACATGTATGTATGTTACAGATTGTCGAATATTGAATTCCTGGATTCCGAAAAACTGCATGTATGTATTTATATGCGCATATGTGCGTGCTGCATTGTTGTGCGGCTCTTTTAGTCGGTAGTACCATCCGCAGTAGTCTACAACATGGTACATTCAAACCTTTACGGGTAATGCTCGAAACATGCACTACTGCGGTCATGGTCGGGCAAGAACACGTTTGTTGGTTGTTTCGTCGCTCAAAACGACCCTACAGTAGTGGCTTATTTGAGCCTTAATTCGTCATTTCCCAGTCACGCAATTAATGATGAGATGGCGACATCGCATTTTGGCGCTGGTCACTTTGCTGCTTTGCTTGTCTCAGCCTTACACAACTTCACTCTTGCATACGGTGTTGAAACATGGGCATGATCACGACAAGCCGATGTCACACTCCAGCGTCATATACAGGACGTTTCTGTTGCAATGCAAATCAATCATATCAACACGCTGCAAGCCGTTGCTTTGTGTGGATATGCCGGTTTTGCGATTCAGGCCGTTTCGAGGTGATCGCTTCGCCTCTCCCGCGCATCGGGCTCCCCGAGAGAAGGCAGGCTATTCAGGTGTCTCCAAGCGTTGGATAGTGTGCGGCGGTTGTCGGTGCGCACAAGGCGGCCGTGCTTCGGTCCTCTAGCCGACGGTCGCGCAGAGGATATCATTTCAGTATGCCATTTTCATGACGATGTCAAGCAGAAGCAATAGGCTGCTTTTCAAGGTGTGCAGTAATACTTCGTGACGGCTGCATGTGGAAGTTCGGGTTGTGCATGTCATTCCAGGACCGATCAACGCCAAGGCGGTTGTGCCAAGCAGTGTTGAAAGAGCAGGGACGCAGCGAATTGATCATGTTCGGGAATTGTTAGGTGCAGCTGAATAACCTGGTGTCGAAGACTTTGAGAAGGCCGCTCCTCGCAGGAGATGTTGCCCGCTAGCTGCGATTAGTCGAGCGCGGACTGCTCTTCAGGCTGTGTCACAACATTGCCCAGGTCTACGAAACTCAAGAGATTGAGTCGGGCTTTCGAGCGACCGTTCGAGTCCATGGTCTGGAGGAGGCACGTGTTATCAAGTCAAGATGCCTTAATCTGACTGTTCAGTTACCAGCAGGAGAAGTCTGCGTGGATTGCAGTTGCGAGTTGTTCCAACTTTAAATCGCATGAGAGTGGCCAAGCCGCGCCTAGCCGGCTCGCAATGAGGAATTTAAATTTGCACATAATGTGTTGAAGACATCACAACCAGCATCACGACATGCCTAACTGCCTAACTCACAAGGACTACACTTTCGCACTTGTGCCTGCTCGGCAATGTGTAGATCGCATCCCTCCGGAGATGGCAAGTATAGAAATCCTCGTTTGAAAATATTCGCGATCTCATGGGCTGGAGGTTGCAGGGAGAGCCGAAACAACACTATGGCAAGTTTCGGATTGTACAGGGACTCCATGTGTACCAAGGCCGCAAGGCTCTCCAGTACGGCTGTTCTGCATGGGAAATTCAGCTACATGTTCGGTGAAGGATGGTGCACCACTGGAGTTTTCAGGCCAAGGGGCCTAGCAACTCAGCTGTGGGGCAGCAAACACGTTTCACTCGGATCAGAAGCTGCATGTTGTTGTTGCTAGGCGTTGCCAACCTGGAGAATGCAGCGGAGCTTTCAGCAGAAGCCATATCTGCCACTTGCAACTCTCTTGCCTTTTGCATGTGGCACGACGTGAGGCCGCACAGGCTGCTGTGACGGCTCTGCCACCGCCACCAGACATAGCGCCGCGATATCCAAAGCCAAAGGCGTCCTGGAGTGTGGTCGGACGGTTGGAGCTGACTTCGTTTCGAAGCTCTGCTCTGTCGACAGGATGCCGCTGCCTGGGTCGCGGAGGAACTGATCGACAAACTGCAGGTCGAGCTTGTGTGCGGCTTACAGAGTGGCGGGCATACAAAGTGCAGCAACAAGCTTGAAAGCTTGAGGACTCCACCATGGCAGATGTGTTGCCTACCTTGGCAATCTGGCAGCTTTCGAACTTTTCTTTTTGTCCCGGTTTGGATTCTGCATACCGAGCCTCATCGACAGACAGCTACCGCTCAGGCATATTTGCAGGAGGACATGCAGGCAGAAGCGCCGTGCAGCTCAGTGCAGTTTCGGAGCGGGAGATGCTATCATTCTCAAGTCGATCGCCGGTGCAGTCTTATCAGAGGTCCTTCAGCATGAGGGAGGTGCCCCACCAGCCTTCTTTCCTCAACCGGAGCTGCCTTGGACATGGCGAGATGCCAGGAGGATACTTGCAGGGTGTCCATTCGAAAGTCTGCCGCTCAAAGGCAGTGGCTTCCGAAGGACTTCTGCTCCCTTGCGTTGCGAGATGTTCCAGTAAGCCGGCGGGATCTTGACTCAGAGCGTGGCAGGAGGTGAGATCTGTCCTGGTCAGCAGCAGAACTCACGGTTCAAAGCTAGCCGTTGCTTGGCTTGGCCTAGACCTCTTGCTAGAGCAGAGATCTGTTGCGAAGAAGCAAGGCTGCTCTACGGGCCCGGCTTTTGGGTGAAGATGGGGGGGAAAGCTACCGGTGTCTGGAGCTGAAGATGGCCGGTAAGAGTGCTGCTGGGCTGCAGCGTGCAGTGCATCATCCGTCTCAAAAGTGCTCTCCGCCTGCAAACCTCCTCTGGCGTGGCCGAGGCAACCAAGGAGGCAGCCATCGCCACCAAGATCCTTCAGAGGCAAACCGAGCTCTTCGGGGGAGTACCTTCAGGGAGGCAACGTCGTGCAAGGTTTTTGCCCAGAGAGCTCGAGATTAGTTCGTGCCTTGGTCGTTTCTACGCTCGATGTGAAGAACAGCCGTGTCTGAATGCCTCAGGCTTCTCGGCCCGCTTCGAGCAGTTCGAAGGCTACCGTGCAAGAGGACTCGTGTTGACCATCGAGAGCCGAAGCCATTCCGAGCAGGCTGGGAGTGAGTGCATGTGATTAGCTGCAGCTGACATCCTTGCAGCCTGCAGGCCGATCCAGAAGGTGATCCTTGAGCCCATGTTCCTGTGAAGACTTCTGCAGTCTTGAACTCACAATGACACAAGCCGGGTAGCAAGGACTGTTCGTGACTTCTTCATGTGCATTGATGGGTTGAGGTCTTTGCCGCAGTCAGCACTTTGATGCCTTTGGGTTCGTGACCTTTTCTGGTGCAGTTTTGTCATCACTCCAGGAACTGCAGCGGTTTCTTCTACAGTCGGAGCTGTGGCGTCTGGTTGGACCTCAGTTCGATCTGGCACCTGCTTCTCCACAGCTGTGCTGATCTTGGTGATAGGTCAGTGTGACTTCGCAGCGGGCTGCTGCCACCTCAGTGGGGCTCACATGTAGCACAGTGATCTGATTTCTACATGTCGTAGTGTCTTGTCATCAATCAGCTCTTGGTCCAAGCCGATGCACGTAGAGGCTGCAGGCTCTTGACTGGCCGTAGATGGCGCATGCCTTTCAAACGGGGCACCGCACGCATAGTTGCGGAGAGCTTCGGTGGCTGGGCGTGTTTGGAGACTGGCTGCCTACCCTCTCCGGGAAGAGGGCTCCTGTGTTTCTAACCCTGTCAGGAAGGAACATGTGGGCCAGTTGGTGACTGTCTGCGGCTGGGTGCAGATGTCCAGAGACATGAATCACTTTGCCTTCGTCGACCTGCGCGACCGCTATGGCATCACACAGGCCATGTTGAAGAAGCTGGGGTAACGGGTCGGGATAAACAAATGAGTCAAATGAGCCATGCACTTGCGCAGATACGCAAACGCTGGTACGCAGTGTAGACTCAGTGTAGACATGACACCACCGGATCTCAGTGGTACAGGGCTAGCCTATTGACCGGAGTCAGCGACACTTGCGTGTGAACATGGAAAGTTTAAAAGCTCGCAGACTGGCAGACTGTTGTATGAAACCTCGTGCCGTGTTGTGGCAGCTGGACGCGCTGTAGTGACTACAGCTTAGACACTGCAGGTCTGGTGCACATTGAGTTTGACCCTGCCAGGTTGTGTTTCCCAAAGATGCTTGGCTTTTTACAGTGGTAGGCGGACGGGGGACCCTTCTGAACTGCACTGCATGTGATGTTCGGTTCAGGAAGGAGCGGACGAAGCGGGCCTCCAGCGCTACGAGCAGTCACGAACCCTTGGCCGCGAGTTCGTCGTGAAGGCCAGGTTCCCACGATTGTGAAGCACCCGATGCTGATGTGCTGTCCTGTGCTGCGCAGTGCTGACCTTGCGCAGGTGACCGGAAAGGCAGGGTGCTTCTCTGCAGTGAATTCAACAGCTGCTGATCTCGGCACAGACTCGCAGGTGGTGGAGCGCATCCAGAAGAATGCAAAGCGACCGCCCTCCCTTCAGCTGCCGTGCGTATTTGCGTGCTGCATCAGTGACGCTAACTCTCCAATCATTTGCACCAGCAACCATGCACAAGGACAGGGGACATCGAGATTGTAGCAGACCAGCTTGAGGTCTTGCATCTTGGCTGCAAACCGAGGGCGACAGCAAGAGAAAGAGGGAGAGAGTTAGATAGCGCTCGTTGCATGCGTTTGTCTGTTTGGAATGTGTTGTGCTTGTTTGGTTTTGGTTTGGTCGGTCGGCTGGTTGGTCAGTTGGGTTGGTTGTTTGTAAGTCTTAAGTTTTACAAAAACCCGTCATTACCCATCGCTCCCACCGTGCACTCAGGAACGCTTCCTCGACACCTCCTTTCAAAATTGAAGATGTGACCGATGCCAACGAGGCGGTCTGACAGATGATTGAGGATGCGATCAGATTGATTGCCATTTCCAGGACACTCGGATGCGGTATCGCGCCTTGCCCGGATTTGACGTCCTCGCTGGTGTGACTTTTACTGATTACCGCCGCCTTCCCACAATGTAATGCGAAGCCACAATGCGCATCTGCTTGATGCGAGCATCACCAGGCAGTGCTTATCCGTTCTTGTTTTTCGAGCAAATGATGCCACATGATGCCACCAGGATACTTGGACATTCGGCGCAACCCCATCAAGGACGCCATCCTACTCCGCAATAAGGTCACGCGTCTGGTCCGAGAGCGACTCGTCCGCACAACCTGATCTTCTGTAGAGACGTTCCGGGTTGGATCTTTTTATCGCTCGATCCTGGGAAAAGCTGAGTTACCTCGGAGATCTTGAGTTTTGTGCTGCTCGGCTGCACAGCTCAAGTCAAGTACTTGTCAAGTGGTGCTACCCAGGAAGTCGAGACCCCGGTTCTCATCAAGTCAACACCTGAAGGAGCTCGTGACTTTGTGGTGCCTTCACGAATGAACCCTGGGCAACCCGGCGCACGTCATATGTGTAGACGAAGCATGACGAAGCTGCTTCAACGTGCACTCATGGTTTCGTGTGTATGAGCAGACAAAGGCAGTTCTATGCTCTGCCACAGTCACCGCAGACTTTCAAGCAGCTTCTAATGGCGCTTCGCTCACTGCCAGTCTGCCTTTTGTTTCCCAGTCTGCGCAGTTGGCAGCAAATTCCTCTCAAAAACAGGTGGGCGGTCTCGATCGCTACTTCCAGATCGTGAAATGCTTTCGCGACGAGGACCCTGCGGCAGCAAGCAAGTCTTCTGCAAGTTGAATTGCATCAAGTCAAGACGTGCCAGGAGCTTCGGGCGGACAGGCAGCCTGAATTTACTCAGATTGCCCCGCGACTTAAAGGATAGACTGTGTCTGAGCACATGACACGGGGGAGCTTCGGCATGACCTGGAGAACTGAGGATTGCGAAATGTCCTTCGTGCAGCAGGCTGTATTTGTTCATTCTGTTGCTTGCATGCGTCGAATCCTCACGGTGCAGAAGCTCTTTGGCAGGAAGATGTTTTGCAGATCTTCGAGGGCATGATTCGCCAAATCTTCAAGAGCTGCTTGCAGAGACCACTTGTAGGTTGGTGTTGTGTGTGTTTGTCTGTCTCTGTTTGTCTTTTATTGCGTGGCGAAGCATCTAAGCTGTGAGTTGCAATGTTACATCATCTTGCAGAAGTGACGTCACCCCATCACTTGCTGTAGTGATTTGCTCGTTGAGGCTTGTGTGGCCGGGTCCCCAAGTCCTCAGTCCTGTGCTGTTCTGGCCGCCGTAGCAGAGGGCTGACCTCCGAGGTCACGAGTTCCCTCCGTTTCAGAGGATGGAATACAGTGAGGCCAAGGACATGACAGGAGACTCAAGGCCGGTGCACCACTGCCAAGGCCCCGCCTTGCTCCAGGCAATGGATCGGTTTGGTATCGACAAGCCTGACTTGCGCTATGACATGGAGCTTCTCGGACAGCAGGCAAACCAAAGCATGCGACACATCACCTGCATGCCAAGGCTGGTGGACCTGACAGAGGTTGACTTGCCGCAGCATAAACTTGCTCGGCCCAATGCCGTTCATACCTTTGCCAGTCGAGGTGAGCAAGGGGAAAAACTTCAAGGCTGGAGAAGCATCTATCACACCATGCAGGATGTATTTCGTGCCTGCTCTGTGTGCCTGAGATGTTTGATGATGCGGAGCTCGTTGTGGGGATGTGCTGCAAGGTCCGGCTGCATTCTTTGAGAGAAGCTTATTTCTTGTTCTTTTCACAAAACAGATCTTGCGAATGAGTAGCGGCTCTGAGGGCATCGGCTCATGGTCTGGGAAGCTGCTTGCATGCAAGTTGTCTGTTGCCGAGACTTCTTGCTACATCGTACTGGTATCGCGTACAAGGAAAGTGAAAGATCTCGAGAAGAAGGCCACAGGACAGGAAGTAGGCCGGAGAGTCTGCTCCTGACAGATGTTTGCAGCTGTTCGAATAGCCACACAATTCACGCGCAAATTTCCACTTGGTGAGACCTCGGCAGCTCAAATGGAATCTTCAGAAATCACGTGTAGTGACGTGGAGCAGGCCAGGAAGAGTAAGAGAGCCCACTGGCCCAATTCATCCAACTTGGCTTCCGAACCAGAGGCTGTGAGCGGAGATGCCCCTTAAGCTGTAAGTAGCTGCGGCTCAGGCTGCTCGAACCTTTCAGCACGAGTGTCCGCTCTCGCAGAGCCCACAACAAGCCACTCAGGTCGACTTGGAGAGAGAGAGAGAGAGAGAGAGCTAGCGCCGTAGCCATTTTGGCTCAAGTCTCTCACCCTTGTGGGAACCCCGGCTGTCAACCGGGGGGACCTGGTGGGGGGCTTGAGGCCACCTGCCGTGACATTCGGCTCACAGAGGCCCCTTCAGGGATTTACGCCAAGCCCCGCCTTGAAACTGGCCCTTGAGGGACCCACCCTTGTGGGGAGCCGGCTGTTCCCCGGCGACCCTGGTGGAGAACCCAGGGTGGCCCAGGAGTAGGGGTGGGCAAAGATGCCACGCCACGGAGGAACAAGAGGTGCACCCGCAGACCCTCGGCCGAAAGAGGTACAAGACCGAAGAGTTGAAGGACCAGACGCAGCTCGACCAGCACGTGACCGTGGACCCCAACATAGAGACGCCGTCCTACCACAACGCTGGGAGGGGGACACCAACCAGGTCACGGACGAGCTTTTGGCAAGGACACCGAGAATGCGAAGTACGCCTGGAGAAGAAGATGGTGGGCGAGGGACACCCACCAAACAGAGCCAAGCCGGAGCCACAGCAATCAA